ATAATACATATAAATACTGATGTTGATTTCTGCTGCAAAAAAGCAAATAAAACTAATAGATCTCGACTCGATGACGAAACGCCCGCCATCGTGGTTCCTACTAATACGCATGCTCAGTATACAAATTACCCGTACCATTCCCACTTATCAAAATTTCGGAAGCAGTCCGATTTTCAAGCTTTTAGCCAGTATAAACATAGCATTCCTTTACTGGCAGAAGCGGAACCGTTCCGATTTTTTGCCGTGCCGTTCCTAAATTTTATATAGTGTAAACGGGCCTTTAAAGCACTTGATTTACCTTATTATACCTTCACAATTCCGGAGATAGTCTCTCCAATGCATGCATGACTGCTGTCTCCTGTTTAATGCACCTATTTGACCCAGGCTTGTCAAGTTGTAGGACAAAGGTTTGCTCAATGTCTTTGGCTGCCTGCAAGTGCTTTTTCGAAATTGCAAAATATTTGCTTGAAGGCAACTGGATGTTTCTGGATACATTCAATGGGACAAATAGTCCTGAACTGATGAAGACCAAATCAACTCCGTAAAATCTACATCATCGTTGGCATTCTTTAACTGAAAATAAAAACGTATTTCTACATATACAAATTATTCTTGATTAGTCATAAATTAGGCATACAAGGGTCAAAGTTTTGTGGAACAATAAACAGAGGTGTATAAACAAATGACTGTATTGAGTAGTGCACTGCCTAATACATTGTAAGCATTGGAAAACGTTCAACTTGGTCCATGTTATCTTCAGAGCTGTTAGGTTCACATTTAATTCATTAGCAGCAATGTGCCGTATGCGCCCTGAGATTGGCAAAGAAATAAGCTGCAATGCGCCCTGAAATGACACCTTAACTTCTGGGCATGATTACTAAGCACAGGTTTATCAGGTTGCCTAGCAACAAATACAAACATAGAACTTGAAACTCAAGCATTTCAACCGTGTATTTTGCAAGAAAATCGGGTTTCAAGTTTAAAATTTTAGTTTTTCAAAAATAATGAACAATGGTGATACTGTTGCAAAGAAGGATTTTACAGCAAATTTTAAAAGCAAAAAAAGAAGAGGTTTTTGAATGGTCTACAATGAAAACAAATGTATTGACATTTTGGGTCATGTTCTTCTGTGGACCATGCATGAGATTTTCAGTAGAAAAGATGAGGATTTCTCCAAACTTTATCAAAAATAGAAGTCGGAAATCACAAGAAATATGAAAACGGAATACAAGTGAGCAGAAACAATGTTTTTAAGGGTATCTTTGAGTAGAAATATGTGATCAAACACTCACAAAATTCGACCGCATTAAAGTTGGTTGAATCTAGTTTGAACGCAAATTTGGGCACAATTTCTACTGTTTTCGTGACCCCATTGTTGGTCTTCTTGTTCAAGTTGTTATTTTAGCTAAAGTATGTTTCAAACGACACCAGGGTTAAACTTACTATGCGCATATGTGCCCTTTTTGGCAAGAATACTTTGAGTAAAATCACATTTAAATAAGTAGGATATTCCAAAATCACTGTTATCTATTTTCATAAATTTTGTAATTTTCTGAACTAAAAGTATATGGTTTGAGGTGTTTATTTTATAAGATAGCATCATATGAGGTGGTAACGTGATGTTACATATAGGGGCATGTTACATATAGGGGTATGTTACATATAGGGGCAAACATAATGACACAATGTTTAATGACAGAGGAAGTGATGTAATATTTCCAAGTTAATTACAATACGAGTCGTGATAATTGGAAATTGTAAACATGGTTTTGTTTAGAAAACACCCCCGCCGCTCAATAGTTTCAGCAGCATTAGCTAACATTAATCACACATTTTAAATGTTGAATTTTGTTAATTATTAGTTGAGGACTATACAAATACGTTTTCCAGCACTTTAATGCTTATTTCCACATACTTTTGAGTGATGCTTAGAACTTGTAGACAACAATCAGTATCTTACTAAGATCGATATTATATACCTGTTCTAGATTTTGTCGTGACAATATAAGTACCTAATTGTTGGGTGCGAGATGAACATAATGTTCTACAAGTAATATTAAGTAAGTAGTGAACTGCAATACTAGCTTCGCGTATGAGTATTTCTTATGCCTCAAACAGATCTAAAACCACTACATATCGCTTTGTAATTCGATATATTTTACTAACTTTGTGTATGTGATAGAATTTAATGCTTTTGGAGTTTTTGTGTTCGAAATACATTGGTCATTATATTAAGCAAGCAACTTCATGATTTCCTCAATGAACATAAATTAATTTCGAATTGAGAACTCATCGCTTGACTTTTTCATACCACAAAGTTTATAAACTCCCTCTAAACTTCTTTTCTAGCATATTTAAAAATTCCTTTGGAGACGACTGCACCAAGAATTTTTTATTAAATTGTAAATGTTTGAGCTTCGATTGTAAACAAATATTAAAAGTTGAAATTACCGAAGCTCAAACATTGAAACTAGTCAGGCGAACTTTGTTGCGAAGAAGTAAGCTGAATAGAAAAATTATTGTACAGATTCTATTGCACTCTCTCCGATTCTCTGCACAAAGAAACATGCAAAGTCTAAAAGCCCATACTGATCGGACGTGATTTGGTTGTAAACAACACCATAGGTTGTAAACAACGCCATATAAGGATAGATATTCCATATTTGGAAAAACGAACGTTACGGGGCAGATATTCAAAATTGTATATCATCAGTGCAGACTCTTAATTCACCTCGAAAGCCTGCTCGCAGGCTAAACCTGTCTAGACCATGCCACATCTTATTTTTAGACACAGTCATGCAATATGATTGAGAAGTGTTTTTTTTTGGTTTTTTTTTATTTAAAATGCTTTGCCATTACAAACAATACGAATTTACGATACTGACAATACATACACTGATACATGGCTGGGTTATCATCACAGCTCCGTAGGATAATATCCACGGGAGCCAATTACGATGAGCCCTGATATACTTCTAAGTTACATCACTGGTTACATTAGCTAAAAACAGCACGGTTTTTGGAGAACGTGTGCTAGTTCTCTGTTCACGTGACATTTCATGCAGTTCGACTTTAAAGTTACAGCATTGTCGGGATCGTAGACATCTCTAAGTAGCCCGTTATATTTCCTCGTGAGACTACGTTTAAAAGTAGCAGCACTTTGAGACAAGTCCCTTTCAACTGGTGTTAGACTGTTCCATATTCTACTTGTGCGGACAAAAAAACTGTTCTGGAATGATACTGTTTTAGCACGAGGTATCTCGGCGAGAACACCTGACTGAGGGTTATTATGACGCGAAATACGAATTTGTTGTTTAATTTGGACCAAGCCATTATTGTCGAGAAAAATTTCTCCCTTTAATGTATGAAAGTAAAAAACCAAGTCAAGAATTTCTAGCCAATAAGTAAGTGGTAAAAGGCCGAGCTTTAACAGCCGTGTTTGGTATGAAACCTTTGTGCGAAACGGTAGTTTCAGTAAAAATTTTGTTGCTCGCCTTTGTACCCTTTCCATCATGTTTATGTATTTGATTTTCTGAGGAGCCCACAATTGGGATCCGTACGAAAACAGGGATCTTACCAGACTGGTGTAGAGAGTGCGACGCGCGTTTAAGCTACCAATTTCCGCAGAACAACGGCGGATGTACCCAAGTGTACGATTTGCCTTGGAGCATACAGTAGCCACGTGACTTGACCATTCCATAGAGCTGGTTATCAGGATTCCGAGATCCTTCTGTTCGTTGACATTTCGTAGCTCGGATCCATTAAGTGAATATGATTGAATAGTTGGATGGTGCTTTCTGGTGAATGACACTATGGCACACTTTGTCTCGTTAAAGTCCATGTTCCATGACTTAGACCATGATGACATATTGTCTAAATTGACAAAGAAAACAAAAGATTATGATAATAATATTTGGCTTATTTATTCAGCAATCTGGCAACCCTGATTAAAAGTTCAGTTTCTCTATTTAACCGAACAGCAAACAAAGATTCAATTAGTCAGTTCTGTGCACGTTCGGGGAGTCTGCAAATAACAGGTCCAGAATGTTATTGCCGCGAGTAGGTTGAGGTAAGGTAAGGAAATAGTCGTCCACTAGTGATTTGAACAGATGTGAGCTGCTATCGTTTGAATTATTTGATAACTCGAAAGTGTCACTCGGGTACTCTTCAAAATCCCAAGGGATATCGGGATAATTTAAGTCCCCGGTAATATAAATGCCATCAAAGTTGTTATTTGAATATATTTTGTCAAGGAAGTCGTCGAAAATCTCCAACCAGCGGCTGTCGGTGGACGATAGCATACGGCAATAAAAGTACCTTTACCGTTCGGTTTAGTCATTATGTTTACCGCGACGATCTCAAGTTCGGCCGATTGGTTTTCACAAATGCGTTGAACATTTAGTTCAGATTTAACCGCGATCAAAACACTGCCGCCCGTTCCGTACTGACGATCGCGTCTGAAAATATTATATCCAACTGGCAGTATCTCTCTGTTAGATATTCCCTCGTTCAGCCAGGTTTCGGTTACACAAACATCGTAGCTTTCGCTGTACACTTGGTCTTGAAATAGCGTTAAATTTGACACATACCTCTGGTTGTCGTCTATATGAGTACTCTTTAAACTGCGGGCATTAAAGACAGCGACTCGGCAGTTGTTTGAAAAGGACATTGAAGCAGGGCCAGGATTCAGAGATATATCATTGCATTGTAGAATGTTTATAATAACCACATTCCGAGCAAGATGAATAAAGTGGATGAACCTTGCCCTTTCCTCAGCTCTATCAATAGGCTTTCCCGAACTTGATGCGACTCCGGATCTTGGTGCGAGTAAATTGTTTATCGGTAGAATTTGAAGTTTGTTCGCTTCATTTGAAGCAGCAAGTACAGCAGAAAGGTCTCCGGAATAAAACTCTTCAGTTGTTTGGTGTTTACGATTGAAAACGGTGAGCAGGAAGGCGACAAAAACAATATATCTGCAGAGCGTTTTAAACACTGCCATCTTATTCAGATATAACTCCATAATGATCAAACAATCTTTCGTACTCCATTTGATCAAACGATCTTTCGTACTCCATTTGAAGGTGTTGTGATGGTCCCAGTTGTTGCTCAGGAGAAACTACTTCGTTTTCCACTGGTGCAGGTTGTTCAATCTCAGGAGAAACTACTTCGTTTTCCACTGGTGCAGGTTGTTCAATCTCAAAAAATAACCTGTCTTGTTCTGCCAGTTGACATACCTCTCCAACTTTCTTGACTCCACGCAATGGAACAAGGTCGATTGCGCAGTTCCTAAACTTCTTTGGTTTCTTTATTTTTGCCTTTTGGCGTACTTTTCTTTCCCACGCCTTCGTGGGTTTTTCGTATGATCGCACTTGTTGTCGCTTAGTTTTCATAGTGTAGATTTCATTGCACAAAAAATTTATATTCTCATAGTCATGAACATGTTCGCAGTGTGTACATTTTGCTTTTAATTAAACTTAAAAATTCAAGGTACTTTTATACAATTAAAAGCAGGGTTGCCAGATTGCTGAATAAATAAGCCAGACATTGTTATAAATGGCCCTTTGATGTCTTTGATTCGAACAAAGAAAACAAAAGATTATGATAATAATATTTGGCTTATTTATTCAGCAATCTGGCAACCCTGGTTAAAAGTTCAGTTTCTCTATTTAACCGAACAGCAAACAAAGATTCAATTAGTCAGTTCTGTGCACGTTCGGCGAGTCTGCAAATAACAGGTCCAGAATGTTATTGCCGCGAGTAGGTTGAGGTAAGGTAAGGAAATAGTCATCCACTAGTGATTTGAACAGATGTGAGCTGCTATCGTTTGAATTATTTGAATTATTTGATAACTCGAAAGTGTCACTCGGGTACTCTTCAAAATCCCAAGGGATATCGGGATAATTGAAGTCCCCGGTAATATAAATGCCATCAAAGTTGTTATTTGAATATATTTTTGTCAAGGAAGTCGTCGAAAATCTCCAACCAGCGGCTGTCGGATGACGGTGGACGATAGCATACGGCAATAAAAGTACCTTTACCGTTAGGTTTAGTCATTATGTTTACCGCGACGATCTCAAGTTCGGCCGATTGGTTTTCACAAATGCGTTGAACATTTAGTTCAGATTTCACGGCGATCAAAACACCGCCGCCCGTTCCGCACTGACGATCGCGTCTGAAAATATTATATGCAACTGGCAGTATCTCTCTGTTAGATATTCCCTCGTTCAGCCAGGTTTCGGTTACACAAACTATGTCGTAGCTTTCGCTGTACACTTGGTCTTGAAATAGCGTTAAATTTGACACATACCTCTGGTTGTCGTCTATATGAGTACTCTTTAAACTGCGGGCATTAAAGACAGCGACTCGGCAGGTGTTTGAAAAGGACATTGAAGCAGGGCCAGGATTCAGAGATATATCATTGCATTGTAGAATAATGTTTATAATAACCACATTCCGAGCAAGATGAATAAAGCGGATGAACCTTGCCCTTTCCTCAGCTCTATCAATAGGCTTTCCCGAACTTGATGCGACTCTGGATCTTGGTGCGAGTAAATTGTTTATCGGTAGAATTTGAAGTTTGTTCGCTTCATTTGAAGCAGCAAGTACAGCAGAAAGGTCTCCGGAATAAAACTCTTCAGTTGTTTGGTGTTTATGATCGAAAACGGTGGGCAGGAAGGCGACAAAAACAATATATCTGCAGAGCGTTTTAAACACCGCCATCTTATTCAGATATAACTCCATAATGATCAAACGATCTTTCGTAGTCCATTTGATCAAACGATCTTTCGTACTCCATTTGAAGGTGTTGTGATTGTCCCAGTTGTTGCTCAGAAGAAACTACTTCGTTTTCCACTGGTGCAGGTTGTTCAATCTCATAAAATAACTTGTCTTTTTTTGCCAGTTGACATACCTCTCCAACTTTCTTGACTCCACGCAATGGAACAAGGTCGATTGTGCAGTTCCTAAACTTCTTTGGTTTCTTTATTTTTGCCTTTTGGCGTACTTTTCTTTCCCACGCCTTCGTGGGTTTTTCGTATGATCGCACTTGTTGTCGCTTAGTTTTCATAGTGTAGATTTCATTGCACAAAAAATTTATATTCTCATAGTCATGAACATGTCCGCAGTGTGTACATTTTGCTTTTAATTAAACTTAAAAATTCAAGGTACTTTTATACAATTAAAAGCAGGGTTGCCAGATTGCTGAATAAATAAGCCAGACATTGTTATAAACGGCCCTTTGATGTCTTTGATTCGAACAAAGAAAACAAAAGATTATGATAATAATATTTGGCTTATTTATTCAGCAATCTGGCAACCCTGATTAAAAGTTCAGTTTCTCCATTTAACTGAACAGCAAACAAAGATTCAATTAGTCAGTTCTGTGCACGGCTTGAATGCGTGCGCTAAAGCTTTCTCAAGGTCTCGACATGCTGGACGCGGATATACTCTAACAGGATAACAACAGCAACAACAAAATTCTCAATTGCACCATGAAGAAGGCGATGTAGCTCAGAAAATAATGCCGGTAGGACCTGATAAATAAGACTTTTGCTGAAGCCAGTTGGCAGAAGAGCAAAGACATCTTGGCTGTCAACAACAAGCTTTCAAATACATGACTAGGTTTGCTGTTCTTTCCGCATCGTGTGTCCAAATTCCATCAAAGATTTTGATATAAAGTTCAAAATACTGTTTGTTTGATTTATTTTCTGCCATAAAGCCAAAAGAAAAAAACTGATTCGAAGAAATTCAATAAGGTAAAATTTGATACATGCGTTTGACCTTAATTGTTGCCTTCACCGAGCTATTTTTAAAACCATTGTTTATGTGAACTTGCAACCAATCAAAATCTTTCATGATGCTGATCAACCAATCAGATTTCCCGTCCACCAGATGGACGGGAATCCCACAGTTTAGACAGGTTTTGTGTCAAGCCCTATTTAAAATTAGGGCCTGAACTTCAGGTTAGAGATTATCTAAAGTGCAAGTTGCGTGTATATTGTTACTTTATAATATCGGGTTTAATTTTAACCAAGGGTTAACACTAACCTAGCCAGGTGTTTACACCTATGGTTTACACTAAAAAAAATCAAATTGAAACATGTATGGCATCCTGGCGGATGGGATTTTTCAATTTCGCGCCAATTTTTAGCTTTTGAAAGAAAATTTGGTTTACTTATCTCTTCTTTCCTTTCTCACTCATTGTATTTACACTTTGATTTTCAATATAATTATTGTTAATTATTGAACATGCCGATTGATGTAACAAAGTAAAAAAACAAGTATAAGGCCGATTTACACTTCAACAACCGTATCGTAACATATCGTAGCATTTTCTTTTGTGTCAAAGTTATTGGTTCCATTATAGTGCTTAGGAAACAAAGAAATACACTTTGCTACGACACGACTGAAGCATGGAAAAGGCCTTAATTGTGTTGAAACAAATTTAGTGACAGGGAACTTATACTTTCAAAGCCTCATTCGAAGCGTGGCAGCGACTCCGCAGCTCGCAAAATAGCTGACTTTGTTTTCCCATTGGCATTGATTGTTTCTTGTTCTCCCAAATTACCACACTATTACTGTAGAGAAACGGGGAAAATGTTCTCTATTTCTTAATTATTAATAATTTGTGTAACATATTTAATTCTTTTGACACAGCATTTCGAACAAATTGCTCACTGTCTACGATACTCATTTTGTCGATTGCTATGAAAAAACATTCACCTGTAACAGTGCATCCACAAACACTGTAATCAAGTACAAATGCGAGAGACATTTTACCCAGGCACATGCCAGCAGAGCAGTTGTCATCGAAGGTCAATCTTGTTTTCCTTGTAGGTTAGAACACAATGGAAAAGGCATTAAACGGGCACATTATCATTGTCCACATTGTGATAAGACGATATTAATCCGTAATCGTTTTACAAAACATGTTGGATCACATGCCAAGCGTCATGAAGCGAAACAAGTAACGAGAGATGGAGTATCGACCATCTCAAATATACCTGACGCACCGAGCATAGAAACATCCATACCAAACCCACCAAGTTTAGAGCAAATCCCACCAAATTTAGAGCAACCAGAGACAATTCAAAATCTTGACGATGATCAGAAATTGGATGAAGAAGTATCGGCCAAGAGGAGAAAAAAAGGCATGTCAGGTTTGTGGAAAAGAAATGGATTCACGTAGCATACAAAGGCATCTCAAAGATATTCACAGGACCGAATGAACCTTTAACCTTATAACTAAAATTTTGATCTAGACAAAAATTTCATCGCAGCTTAAAAGAGCATCACAAAATTAGTAATATTCCAGAGTTTCATTGTGAAATGTTGTAAAATGTGGATAATATAGCCTTGCAAAGTTTGCACTTTTCAGTTATTTTACATTACAAATGGGAAATTGATACCCAAACACCCGATTTGGGTATCAATGCATGGAGGACTGGTATGCATGCAGTTGAATGCCGTCATCTTCAACAAGTTGAGGCTGGTTCTGAATATGGAGAAACCATTTAACTTTCGGAAACCTTTCTTTTGGATCTTTCTTCCAACAGACCTTATAAGATGCTTAAGAGGGAACACACATGCAGGAATGTTTGTCCCTTTTACAGGCTGCAGCATCGCACAATGCTGAACTAATAGTTAGTTTCCCTGACAGCGAAAGGTTTATTCACTTCTCTGTTTATGATGGCGACATCCACTATTATTCAAGACTGGGCTGTGTGTTAGTTGCGTGTGTTAGTTACGTGTGACCTGACCAGCAGAGACTTAGACTGCAGTTGTCGGCGCAAGCGTGGTTGTCTTCACAAAGCAATATGTTTGTGGTACCTGTGTGCTGAAGGAAAGCTGGATAACATGCGTGTTCAAAAAAACCATGGCCACCGAAGATTTTCCAGTCGAGAACGATATTCTATCAGGCGCTATTTCTAACGCTTCTGTTGACGTCGACGAATGTATATACCCTCCACTGACGAAAATGTTGTTTCTCGAATGTGCAAATATCTGCTAGATCACAAACGTATTCCGATGCAGGCAAACAGGGACAAATCGAAACCATTAATAAATCGGTTGGAACCTTCTGAGGAGGAATGCACATTTTGCCAAAATCTTCTCGGTAGGCCTATATTAATGACAAACAACACAACCATATTAACCATGGATTGTATGGTAGCTGGTGTTAAAACATTCTACCGAAAATGTGAAACATGCGAGACCTGTTATCGTTATCAAGAATTTTCGGATGGTCTGCACAACTTTAATGATAGCTTTATCCTTGGCCTAGATGTTTGCATATTCCTTTGAGAAAGCCTTCAAAATCACATTCCACTAGGAAGCATGGTGCAAGTTCTGGAAAGTACATTGGGCAAAACATTACACCATCAAACAATTGTGAATGCCTCCATTACGATGCCTTGAGTGCCCACGAATACAATTTTTACTGCTTTCTTTGTGGTTCTCATCCACACATCCTAACAATGGATATGAATCGGAAGGTGGCTTTCCAATGTTCAGCAGAAACACTCTGCCTTCCTGACTATGACCAAGGCAAGGAAGAACATGATTTAGTTGACAGTGATCAATTTTGGTCCGATGTTGAACTAACTATGGTGGCGCGTGGTTTTCCCGGAATAGTGATCAGCAAGTTTAAGACAGAGCCGGACATCTTAAAGTGGGCACCCTTTATAGGCAAGCATACAAGAGCAAGTAATCTACTGGTAAATACGGAGCACAGGAAAATTAGACAGGAAGATGGGAAACTAGAACAGGATTAAAGAGAGTTCACAGAAGAGTGCTTGCTTGAAATGTTGCATCAATCTCCTCTGAGAGAGATCTGTACGTTCGCGAGGCAGCTTGGTTTGAATGGAACAGGGAGTAAACTTGACAAAATTATGGCTATCAAAAAAGCTGTGGGTATGGATGATGAAAAGTTTAAGAAGGTGTTCAGCAAGCTGTGGGGTTGTTCTGGCGGATGGGCATCTGGGACGTGCCCTCATGGAGTCATGTATGCACTCAAGTTTGTCCTGCGATCTGAAAGTCCTCGTGATTATGTAGATCTCCTATTATCTATGAAATTTCAACCAAATATTACAATCGTAGACATTGCTAATTTGGTAGCTGCCCATGGAAATAAGTGCAAGGAGAACATGTTCCATCCTCACAATAGCAAAGTTTTGGAACCCACCATAGAGAATGTGACCAAAGGAATAAACGGTTAACTAGAGGTTTCATTTAACTGGCTAGAAAACTCAAACAAACTACCCAATACTGGCATGGAAGAACTTGGACATCCAATTACAGGAAGTAATGTTCGCCTTTCATTGCACGAGAAAAATGCCACAAAAGAGGAGGAAGTACTTCGTTGGGTGACGCATGTCAAACAACTGAACAGACTTATTAATACAAACAAGGACAAGAGCAGTTAAACAATGTGTAGAACAAAGATAGGCACTTTCTTAACTCCATGAAACCATTTAATCATATCTTCCTGTATCGATCAAACATTGATTTTCGCAACGAGAGAATAAATCAGAAAAACTTGCAGGACATCCAGGCTGCTACACATCATGCTCTAGGACAAAATGAATATGGACGAGTTACAATTGAGAAGACAAAATCCATTCCCCAGGGAACTTCTCTGAGAGATTATATACAGCGCATGCCTGCTGGTGCTAACGAAAGTAAGACCTTTAAGGTTCGGAGAATGTCATCCAACTTGCCTGCCAGCTCATCTCGTTCTCACACTGATGAATCAGTTTGTCATCAATCATCCAACAGCTAAATGATCCCCCAAGTCCAACACCCAGCCAATTGTGTGATTGGCCTGACACAGGAGGTAGCCCGGAGAGCATTTGCTGCGACGATACGACATTTGGCGATTTTCCAAACCATCCCCACATATACCTGGTGAATCCAGCACCATTCCTGATATTGTTTCAAATGAGAATTCTGATTCATGGATGTGTGATTGGCCCGACACAGGAGGTATCCCGGAGAGCATTTACTGCGACGATATGTCATTTGGTGATTTTCCAAGCCGTCCCCCAGATATACCAGGTGAATCCAGCACCATTCCTGACATCCTTCCAAAAGAGTATTCTGATTCCCACCAATCCAATTGTTCCTCTCGCTTTCCTGCGCCGGAATTATCATCACTCCAACCTGAAGCAAGTCAAACAATCAAGCTGAGATCAACATACTGTCTGAAGCATTCCCATCGATTCATCATCTTGCAACTGCAGGTTCCTCAAAAGACGACGCCTACTTCTCTGCCTCAACTTCTACCGTGCCACCTTTAATTATGGTTGAAGACAACTGCGCTACTACTACTACTACGACAAATCCTTACTGGATTGCGGAACTTCAATTGCGGATGTCTGACAAGGAAATATTGGAAAAGGGACACTGGGTGACTGATCGAATCATTTTCGCTGTTTAAAGTTTTGCGGAAAGACAACAGAACGAGAGGCCTTGCGGGGCTTGAAGATGTCATTCCAGCAACAAAGCACAGCTTATATGACAGCTACAAGAAAAAAGTTATAAGCTATCCAATAAAAGTCTAAGAATGTGCCTGTCAACTTTCCAATCCAGTTGGCTTTATCAATATGTATGTTGCCAAAGTTCAGCAGCAACGAGGTGGAAACCTGTGTGGTCTATATGCAATTGCCAATGCTACTGTCCTATGTTTTGGAAGGGATCAGATGTTGTTGAAATTAAAACACGAATCTCTGGGCCCTGTTTTGAAGGATTCAGGACTTTAGGACCTTACTTCTTTCCTCAGTCTTTTATCAAAACCAAAGGATTCACCCATCAACCAGGCCCTATATGAATGGATTTGTTGGGTGCACTGTCATTGTAAAATGCCAGATGATGGAGATTTAATGGTCCACTGCACGAAATGCAAGCGATGGTATCACCAACATTGTGAGCAAGGAGACTTTGAACATCCAGCGTGGATGTGTATCAACTGTAATCGAAGAAATGAGTGGAGAAAAGCAGAATTAGAACGGAAAGCAAAACTGTTTGTTGACCTTCATAAGGCGTCCCTAAAGCCCCCGAAACGAGAAGCGTTGCCATGTTTGTACGATCTCATTAATGAGATTGCAATCAACAATGAGTTGCCACCAGGGAACGTTAGCTGTGGTTTTGTTCCATTTGAAGTTTACAAAACAATTACGGCAGATAAACGGTCGCAAAAGTTGGGCATAACATGGTCAAGGGATGGTCATTTGTTTATTGTAATTTTTAAAGAAAGGTACGAAGATGAAATCCATATTTTCAAAACTCTGGTGCACGAGATGGTTCACGCAGTGCAAAGCCAAAGGAAATTGAAGGGTACTGTGCATGGAAAAGAATTCAAGAAGTTGGGAAAACAAATCCTTCAAAACCTAAAAGTAAACATGTTGGCATTTCAATCAATCAATCAATATTTATTTTACCATATTCAAATATTTACAAGCAAGATAGAATATTTAAACAGACGGATACATATTATAATGAAAAAGCCATAAATTTAATTATAAAATAGAAGGAAAGAGTAAAATGTAATATGGATGGAGATTGGCAGAAGAAAAGTCCAGGGAGTTTGTAGAGAATGCCAATCACCAATTTTACCAAGGTTGGGTAAATGAGCAGGGTTTCTTATCCGAAATAAACGAATTCAGCTTGTCATCATTTCATCAAATAATAAATATTTGAGCTTTTTTTTAAATGATTTTAATGTTTTTGACATAGTGATAGTGTCATCAAGCAAATTCCAGAATAGGGTCCAGCTTTGTCTTAGGCTCATTTTTCTAGTTGTGGTTTTTACTTGAGTGATATGTAATTTGCTGGCAGTTCTGGTATTATAGTTGTGAATTTCATCATTATGAACAAAGTAGGTTTGGAAGATAGGTGGAAGAGTACGAGGGTAGTTAATGCATCTAAATATAAAGGCTCCAGTTTGGTATTTATTTATGTCATAAACAGTCAATAATTTCAGCTTATAGAATAAGGGCTTTGTGTGGTCTCTAAATCCAACATTGGCAATTATTTGTATCATACGTTTTTGTAGTTTAAAATTTTTTTTAAAATTTGTACATGTTTTAGCCCAGATAATGTTACAATATTGTATATATGGTAACACAAGCGTGCAGTATAGTGATTGACGTGCAGTATAGTGATCAACGTGCTGTGGCTTAATTTTATTTA